ACCGCATGGAGACCGCCGCAGCGCGCCGTGCCGGTGTGACCTCGACGCCACCTACGAAATTCGGAACCCAGGAAAGGGCCTTACCTGGACCCCATTTTTGGTCGGCTGGCATGTACACTTCTAAAAGCGACCAGCGTTTATGAGAATCTGTTGCTCAAAATTGTTCCAGCGGTAAACTGCTTGTTTTCAGCAGCGCGAGTAAAACAGGATCACTCAGGATCAGTCGTAAGACGGAAGCGCGTCCAAGTACGCCCTCCCCTAACCCTACGCTCCCCCTTCCTTTGCACAGGGTTCCACTTGCCGCCTTATGGCGTTTCCGGGCGTGAGCTGAACGGAACAAGTTTGCTCTTTAACTCTCCAAAGTTACTCTTTGCTCCAAGAGGGATTCAACTGTCAGATCATCAAGGTTCTTTCTTGCACATAATTATGCACGCTTAGCGGCAGAGGTGGGATTAAACGGACCCTGGAGTCAGTGGTGTACTTTCAGGAAGACTACGAAGCCTTTCTGTGAAGGACTGGCCTGGGAAGTGTTTCAGTACTCACCGGCTGTGGCTACACTCTGCACATGTCTTTGAGAGCCATGAAAATGGTGCGCTGCACGAGACACGGCTAGCGGTGTAGCGCTGCCTTGCCCAAGTCTCGCCTCAGGGCGACACGATGGTGCCGTCCGCCCTCGACCCGCCTCGCGTTTCCGGAGGGGAAACGGTCTCGCTGCCTTGGAAAAGGGGTGGGGGGCGATCTCCACGGGACAAAGGGACAAAGGAATATGGGACAGTAACGATACCCCTCGTGTGTCGTGGCGTCCATGGCCTTGGCCTTGGACAAACACGCCGGGCATCATTGCGGGTCCGTGAGGAGACATCACTGATGTGCTAAGCGGCGGTTGGGGATGTGCGGTTCCACTCCCCCCCCCCCACACACACACACACACTCACTCACTCCGCGGCCAGCAGCCACCGCTCTGGCGGTTCATTATCGTGTTTGACGGTGGGCAGGCGAGGAAGGAAACGCTCTGGGCGGCCGAATTTGAGCAAAAAGGGCCAACGGGTGGGTGGACAAAGGGCAGTTCAATCAGCCACACGCCCTTTCAGGGTGAAGGTACAAAGAAAGTGGGGAAGTGGCTCGCCGAGCGCACATGGCGTGAATAATTAACCCCTCGCACATGCCGAGCTGGAGAGAGAGAGAGAGAGAGAGAGAGAGAGAGAGAGAGAAAGAGAGGGGGCGAGGCGAGGGCGACGATAAACATTCGCTAACGAGACTCCGTCGAGGCTGACCCGAAGCAGCGGCCCTGTCTGGCCGACTCTCGGCCGTTCCGGCTGGCAAGGGCTGGAAGGGCCTAGCGGGCTTGCCAGTGTGTGCGCGCGCGCGTGCGTGTTTGTGTACGTATGTGAGTGTGTATGAGTGTGTGTGTGCTCAAATTAAGGCCAAGAAAGGCGCGCGCCGCATTCGCTGGCTCGGCCAGCTGTGCTGCTGGCCTATAGGCGGGTGAGAGGAGGCGGCGGGCAGAGGAGGGCGTGATTCGCAGAGCAAGCAGCGGCCCAGCGCTGGGGCAGGACTTAAGGGGGCGTTATCGAGTTAACGTTGAGGGCGGGTTGGCCGGAAATACACAGGTCGGACTGACGCTGCACTGCGATTGCTATCCGGGATTCCAGGTCAGAGTTAAAGACGGGATGTGTGAACGGTGGCGGCGCAGCTGCGCTCTGCCAACAGAAGCGAAAGAGTTGATGCAAATTTAAAGCCGTTCATCGCGGATGAATCGACACGACTCTCTCTCTCTCGGCGGACTTGCTTTTGTGTGACGCGTTGTCGCGTGTTGCCCGTCGCGGCGTGACGGTCGGGCGGCGGCTACGCGAGCATTTCGCAAAACAACGGGGGGATGCCCGCAGCGGCCACAATGGACACGCGGGAAATCCACTGCTCCATTGGCAGCGTAAAATAGCGGTCCGGCTTGATTCTCTCTCTCCAAAGCCGGACAGGTGGCCGCAGGGTTTTGCTGTTTTTTTGTGGTGGTCCGGGTGGAACGCGACTTGCGCTCGCCCTCCCCGCCCTCGCCGCGGCGTTTCGTATTGGGGAACCCATTGCAGTTGGAGCGGCGGACCGGAAAAAGAGGGCGGAGACCACTAAATAGGGTCCCGCCGTGCCCTCATTGGATTTCAGGAATCCGTGTCTAAACGACCGGAGAGAGAGGGAACGGACGGACCAGGAAAAGGAGGCGGGGGTGCCACTCAAGTGTCAAACCAGCCGGTGCCCACAGAATCTCGCCTATTCCCTCTGAATTTCCTTGCGGCGTGCACCGCGCAAAAATACGTGTTTACCGTCGTGCACGAGGCTGTGCCTTTGCATCTGTTAGCAGGCACTCCCGGCGAACCCGCAAACAGCGTGCGGCTTCTCGGGAGGGGGTGCAGCGAGATGAACAAGGTACAAAGGATGCGAAAGGAAAACAGTGTCGAAGGGCCGGAGGGGTCGGTGTCCGCTTCAGCGCGGTGGGGCCGCGGTGCGCGAGCCAAGCTCTGATTCCGAAGGATTGTACCTCTGTCTCTCTCGCTCTCATGGAGCATGTGCTAGGGGTGTGAGAGAGACGGAGCGATGAAACCATCCTTCGGAGTCGGGCGGCACGGCCAGCCGCCCTAATCGGTTTGCACCGCCGCACAGACATCCCCATCCCGCGGGTGGCAGGCAGGCACGCTGCCAAAGGCGTGGCCCAGGCGTGGTCTGGGACCACCGAGGGCCGGACGGTGGAGCCGAGAAAAGAGGCAAGCGGGCGAAGGCTCGATCAGTGGCGGCGTCTGTTGGCCCTGCAAAGCTCCCTCCTGACAGAAGACTCATTCCGAGGAGTGCCGGGGCGCCCCGTCTCCCTCGCACCCTCGCGGGACGGCGCGGGGTGCGGGTGAGACGGAGGAGGCGCTACCAGGACGGACACAAAAGGAGCCGCCCCGCCGGTCGGCCGCACCGCAAAAATGTGATGGAGGAGGAAGCGGCGTGGGGAGTGCCAGGGAGTGAGTGCATTGGGGCTTTGGCGGGGGCGTTGCACCCCGCGATAAGCCCCACGCTACCCCCCCCCCCCAAACCGTTTTCTTTCCTGTCGCCACTATCCCCGGCTGGCTCGTCTTCGCCGGGCCCTTGGTGGGGCCCTTGGCCGGGCCTTCGCGCATTATCGCCGTGGGGCCACCGGGGGGTCAGAGGCCCCGTCAGTGAAGCGAACCATGTGGAGTCAAAGCCCGACGCAATTGGTTTGGCGGAATACTGAGCGCCTCCTTTTGTTTCCAGTGTTTACCATGTTTTCCCCAAGGACGGAAAAAGTTTTGAGGCTGGAGGCCCGCTGCTTAGCTCCCTGGCTTCTCAGTGTGGGACGCCAGCGGAGCGCCAGGTGGATGAGGAGCGAGAGAGCCACCCGTGGGGGAAGACCCGCTGTTTCTCTGGATAACCAAGCGGCCAAGGCGGTTTGCGGCGAATTACTTTTCTTTTTTCCTGTTCAACTCGTCACTACAGGCGACTGCCGCCTCACGCCGACGGGATGTGCGGGGCAAGTCTTTACATCCGCGATCACTTATTCATGCTGCCTTGGCTATTTATTTTGAGGCGTGCTGTTGTTGTTCGTGCTGTTGTTATGAAACAGTGGCTGGCTGAGGGCTTGATGGAGTGCCGCGACACTGTACATGAGGAGGTGCCACGTGTGCCTTTGAATAATATATCGCGGTGGCCTTGGCTGTCGGTGCCACTTGCAGTCCCTTTCCGCCACTTACTCGAGGTGTCATTTGGAGAGAGACAGAGATAGAGAATGCACAGTCGCGCAGCCATTCGCGCAGTCTGGTTGAAGCAGAGCCTGCGTAATCTCCCCCGTATTGTGTGTACTGTACTGCACTGTCTACTACCAGCACGGCGCCAGCGCTATCTAGATGTCTCACGGTAAGGGCCGGGTCGGCCCTATTTGTGGCACCGAACTTCCGGGGAGAATCCGATCGACTAGCGATGCGGTACCGAGGGGTTAGAAGGGTGCTTCGGCTCCGGGCAGAAGAGATGATAAGCTGATAGAGGAACATATCCACCCTTACACGCACTTGAGATTCAAGAGCTGCACCCGTGTCGCTGCGCACCCTTTCCGAATCACGTGTTCCAGCGACTCACTTCGAACCCTTTTTCTCCCTGCCTGAGTGCGGTCTTGTTTCGAAACAACCAAGCTTTCTCTCTCTTTATCCAGGCTTCATCTTTTTTGCGCTTCCAACTTTTGACATTCGGGCTGTTCCGCTCCAGAATTCATGTCCCCTCCATTTCTGGCATGTCCCCAGCGACCGCAACCCCGGAGCCACGCGAGGGCGCGCTGCGGGCTGGGAGTCGCTCGTGCCTCGCACCTACACGGCCTGCCACCAGTGCGAGGCAGACGGTGCGACGAAAGCGACTCTCGGATCCAGTCTCAATACCTCGGCGCGGTAAGGCAACCACTGGGCTCGTGCGTGCCATCGTCGTGCTTGCTGGGCCGTGCTGGAATGTGTCCGGTGTGGGGGACGGGGGTGTGTGGGTGAGAATCCGTCAGCGAACTGCTCAGTCGGACCGGGGAGCATATCTATTGAAAGCCAACACGTAGTCCGTGAAGGGTGTGAAGGTTGCCGCCCGGGCCGTGTCACCCACAGCAGCGCGGCCCCACCCCACCTCATCGCACACACCCACACTCTCTCCCCGCCGGGAGGAAGGTGGCCCGAAGTCCGCAGATATTGCCCTGTCATGCCGGTCGCCATGGCAGCGGCCCGCGGCGGTCGCAGACGGCAGGAAGGAGCGATGGTTCTCCTTCTCTGGCGTGGCCCGCTTGGCCTGGTTGGCCCAGTCGGCCCGCAGGCGGAAACTACACTCGCTGAAACTCGCTGCACTCCGCACAGTGCCATATATTTCCTAGCCGTGGTCGTGTGCTCAACAACCCGACACCCCACTTCTAGTCGAGCTGCTCATCTCATTGGATGGAGCCTCGTCTCCAGCGGCCACCGAAGTGACCTTGGCAATAGACTCACCTTCTTCTTGGCCTCGATGCTCTTGTCCATGTAGTTGGAGCGGATGGCGTGCCTGGCGAGTGGGCACACAGGCACGCCCACGGCGGAGGCCAGGGGCTCTCCGTCCTGCGCCTGGTTGCACGCCTGCCCGTGCATCAGCGGGGACTCGGGCTCTGCGAACACAGCGTCAGCTGTCACGTTTCCCGCCCTGCTGTTCGCAGCTTGCAAAAAAATTAGGATCCAAACTGGGTGAATTCAAAGACGAGATAAACGCCGAGGAGCAAACGACTTCCTCAGACGCACGCGCAGCGAGAATGAACGAAAGTTTTTCCGCCTTTTGAAGGACTTCTTTTGGAGGGCCCTTTGTGCGCTAGAGGGTGAAGGAAGCAGACCCCGCGGAGGGAAAAAAGTTTTTAGAGCTGCGATGTGGCGCAAAAGAGAGATAAGCAATAAGCATCATGAGCGCTGCCGGCGTGAAGAAAAGAGAGGCAAGTGAGATTAAAGTTCCTGCCCTGGTGGAAGCTGTTCCGGCACCTCACCCACCGTCCGCGGCCCGCGGCCCACACATCGGGGCAAGGCCAAGGCCGGCCAAGGCCACGGCCGGGGGGAGCTGCCTGCCCTGCCAGCCTGCGGTTACTGACGGAGTGATGCGGGGGATGCTAGTGCCAGCCTCACTCCCAGAGCGTCGGAAGTGGCACGGTCAAAACACTTACTTAACTCGGCCCAGGTTAAAGATTTAAAGCTACATCAACTGATTTCTCTGCCTTGTTAAAATGGGTCCATTGCCGATTTTCGAGAAACAAGCATTCAAATTGTGACAGACTTTTTGGATGAAAATACTTCGGGTTACTCAAGTTAACTGCCAAAGAAACGTCCCACGTTCGTCCAAAGCGCGGCCTCCTCAAGGCAGCCGAAAAAAAAGTTTTCTGTTTAAATATTAAAATCAAATCTTGGGCGTGCCCGTGCCACTCGTGTACCGCAGAGGAGGGGGCGGTCCTCCACTGGAGACCTCCCTGGTACAGCCTCGGGGAGACGGCCTATCTATTAAGGGGAATGGAGTTTTGCGCATGTCTTACCCCGAGGAAGAAAAACGTCCAGTAAGCTTATGCGCACAGATCCCGCGCCTCTCCGGTGACAGGGCAGCCAGATGGAGGTCCATCCAGCCCCTTCGGGCTTCTGCGGAGGCCGCGTCGCTAGGGTGTTCCCGAAGGAAAGCTGTATTCAACTTCGGGCTGGATGGACACGGACGTGATGAAGGAACTGTAAAGGAGTGCGCTGAAACCCCAGGTTCAAGAACCTGCCGCGACCGCAAAAGGGAAGCCAGCGAGCCATTTAGTGAAAAGGGAACCGGGAGCTGCCTCTCTCGCAGTGATTTAGCTTGGCGCAGGCCTTTGGGAAAGATTTCACCTCGTGGTAAACACGTTGGCCGCCAAGTCAGCGCTGAGCCATGGCGGAGCCCAGTCGTCCATCTCGTCCGAAAATTGGATCCGGTCGGGTTGAATGCGCCGACCAGCGTCATGCTGATGCCTCGCCGCCTGAAATCTCCGGAGAGGAGAGCTTGCCGCCTTGGAGAGGCTAATCTGCCCCCTCTGGGGCTTGCCCAGGGCCTGCCGCGCTGCCACGCTGTGAAACTAATTGGAGACCCGGACACCACGGTGCCGCATCCGGTCAGGTGCGCAGAGGCAAGGTGCCGGATGCGCTGTCTCCGTCTCACCTGCAGCGTCAGTGCGAGAGAGACAGAGGCTCTTGGCAAGAGCTGGTGCTGCCACCTAGCGCCTGGCGGTCAAATCAAGCAAAGCGGGTGGACCTTTCCCCGCCTGGTCAGGGCATCTCTCCATCCCAATCTTCGATGCCGCGAGCAGTGTGTGAAAAGCGGGGCAACCAATCTCCGAAATGGCGTTGCTGGCGTCAGCGGGAAGGTGGACTCACCTAGCGTGTGCAGATGCATGTGCTGCAGCTGGTGCAGTTGACGCTGCAGCTGGCTGGGGTCGGCCAGGGTGGTGCCGTTGGTGGGCGGCCGCAGCACGCCTGAGGCGCCGGCCGGGCTGCCCGTGCGCCGTGCCTGGACAAGCAAGGGGTCAATGTCTCAACCACATGCCTCGCCGCACCCCGCCAGAGTCTGCCCCTCACCTTGCGCAGCCACATCTTGAAGGTGTCGGAGCGCCTCTTGGGCCCCGTCGTCGGCGTCCTGGTCGTGCCGGCCCTGCCCGTCCGGGACGGCGCCGCGTTCCACACGCGCGTCGCGGCGCCGCCGTTGGCGTGCGAGTGCAGGGGCAGCATGTGGTCCATCACGTCCGCGGACACGGGCGAGGGCACGCCCAGCGCCATGGCCACTGCAAGGCAACCGAAAGGCAACGGAACGCGTCAGCACTGGAAGGGAAAACGACCGGAACCCGGCGACCGGGACTAGTTCGGAGGGATCCGGGGTAATGATTGGTTTGCTTGTCATCCCGGAGCAGGCCGAGGGTCATCAAAATTAATCCACCCATCGGCTGGCGCTGAATCAACTAGTTGTGCCCCCTCCACGCTTTTACAACACGCGAAATGTTTTATCCGTCGCGAGCCCCACCCCCGGACACGCGCCTCCTATCGTAAACGTTTATTTCATAGCGAGGAGGGTCGTGCACCAGCGCGCCAGAGACCAAAGGCCCAATACAATTCGTCGAAAGTGTGTGCCACTTTCATAGTCCTTTTCATTTTACGTCACAAAAAGTTATTTGTATTTTTTTGGCCTTACCCGGCTGCTTGCAGGACGAAGAGTGCCGTATTTCCCGGCGCAGGCCGCGCCACAGCTTGGACACGATGAGCAGGTAGGCGAGGCTCATGATGAGCAGCGGCACGAGCAGCAGCATGGCGTCCAGGAACAGGTTGTAGATGCGCTCCGACCCCAGCGAGCTCCACTCCTCGCGACACTTGTGTCGCCCTGGAACACCAGCCAAGGCCGCGGCGGCCGTGCCCCGGATCAAATTAGAGCAGCACTTTGGAAAAAGTTTGGAGGGGCCGCGTCTGGGAATAGGGGGAGCGGGGGCAGCGGCGGCGTTGTGCACACAGGCAAGTTGCTTTGTCGCTCCGTCCCTCTCGCACCCCTACGGGACGATCCGGGAGTGCGAGAGAGGCAGAGCGACGAGGTGGTGTTCGGAATGAGCCTGCTGCGCAGTGTTCATTAACGCTGTCATTGACGGCGCACGCATGCCCACGTACTTGTCATGCGACATGCGCGCTAGCGGGAAGGGCGGGCTGTGAGTGGGAGCGAGAGAGGGCGGGACAGGGAAGGAGTGAGAGCGCCTGCGAGGTAGGCAGCCCCGCGCGCAGCACGCACGCGTGCCATGCGGGCTGGCCTACCTCGGCGATCGCAGGCGCTCTTCCCTAAAAGACTGAATCGGAAAAAGCTGTCCGTGCGACTCACCCGTATTCTGCATGGCCTTGAGCCGCGACACGACCAGGATGGGGGCGTTCCACAGGCAGGACGCCGTCCACACCACGGCGATCATCTTGTAGGCGTGGAACTGGGTCTGCCAGCGGCGTGACTTGAGCGGCCGGCAGATGGCGAAGTAGCGCTCCAGCGAGATGGCCACCAGCGTCCACACGCCCACGGACACCGACACAGCTGTGGACACAACGGGGTGGGTAAACATTGTTTGTGTCACCATGTAGAAACGTGTTTCTACATCGCGGCGTGTGTGCGTGGGCGTGCATGCATGTGTGTGTGTGTGTACATGAAGCACGAAGCGCCCTCGCGTCGAAAGGTGACGGGCCTGCTTTTAGTAACATGCGTCACAGCAGACACAGCTGGAGCAAAGACACTGCACAGCGGGACGGTGCCGCCCGTTGTAAAGGTGTCGCAGTGCCAGGTTTGAGTGAGCATTCTACGACGTCAGACTTCCTATCAGCAGAGAAATCTCGTTCTATTTCCCCTCCATTATTTCTTGAAATCACTCCGTAATCCGCTCGCTGATCCCTTCCTCGAGGGCCGCCCCATTCCTGTGGGCAAGGCGTCCTTGGCCCTCGGCAGGCGGCTGTTCCGGGCCGCAAATTAGGGGCGCTAAAAGGCGGCCGGATCTTCGGCCGACTGGTGTTGACGCGGCCATCCCGCGGCCTGGAGTGGAGGGGGCTCTTGGGGGCCCGCAGGGCACGGCACCGTAAGGCACGCGTAGGACGCGCGTCCGAACTGGGTTGCCTTAGCCGAAGCCCATTAGCCGTACTGACGTATCCTTTGCAGTGTAGGACCAAAGAAGTCGATACATGGAGGACGCGAGCCCCAGACCCAGCGCCGGGCCCAGCCAATTATGAAGCGGTCGACCCGGCCATTGTGGCACCCCGCTCCAGTGGCTGGACTCCATCGGCTGGACTCCAGTGGCTGGACTCCAGACCTTGCATCGGTGTGGTTCTGCGCGGTCCCGCTTGGTCCAGGCGGCAATATCCGTTCTGAGGCACCAGGGGCCGCCAGGGGCCCCTTCACGAGCATAGGGGAGGGGAGGGAGACGCTTGGAGCAGGCCGCGCTCGGTGCGGCGCTGGGTGGTCAGGGCCGGCCCTCCGGGGACGACCAAAACGAACGCCTGCCCCGTCGCCTTGGCCCTTTTCCTGGCACCAGGACCCCACTGCAGGGCCCCACTGCCCTACAGAGCGACCGGGGCACGCCGGGGCACCTGGGAGGACATCCCTCGGCCCATCCCCCATCCCACCCACAGCTTTTTGTTGCATGCCAGCGTTGTTCTCTTTGTGCGAGCGGACAGGCACCGAGCCTTCCGCCTTTCTCAACCGCCACGTCACACACCCACCACTCTCCCCTGAAACCTGAGACCCCCGCCACCGCGTGGGCTGAAAATCGTTCCTGATTGTCCTCGAGGTCTTGCGCGTGCGGCGCGTGCGCGGTCAGTGGTGTGCTTCCGCGAAAGTGTTCATTAGACTTGACACCGGGTGCTGTAAGTGGGTCTGGAAGTGGCATGAACCAGAGGCCTCTGGGGTGCTTCTAGAGCTGAGCAGCGCTCTTCCAGCCCCTCCAGCACTGCCCGCGCCTCTTTCCCAACTCGGCCGGCAGGGCGGCGCGGAGGCACCACTCCGAGTTGCGGCCGCGCACTTGACCCGCCATCGGCCGGCCCACCGGCCAGCCCACCGCCAGCCCACCGCGGCACTCGTCCCCACCACTTCGGGGGTCGCGCTCCGCCCGCGCACTACCCACTACGTCTTCGAACCCGCTGCCACTCGCCCCGCACATCGGTCGACGGGCGGAGGCGGGCGGACGTTCTGCCGGAGACGGTAAAATCAAAGGCGCCGCGCGTGAGAGCAAAGGCGTGGCCCGAGGCACCGCCAATATTTTTGTAGAAATTAGTTGTCTCTGAGACCTTGGGGCTCGCTGCCCTTGAAGTAAAACGACCCCCGGCAATTTTCTTTTTTTGTAAGGGCCAATTTTATTGAGCGCCGCCGCCTTCACACACACACAGCTTAATCCGCGTGTCCTTGTGCGACTGCCCAGACTGGCTGGGGGCTATTAGTCTTTGTTTGTTCACCCTTCACTCCATCGGGCCCGACAGATTTTGCACGCTCGAACCCACCCAGCTAAAAGTCACATACTTCTGAGCACTTAATATATTCATAGTAGGATTTCTGTCCTTGAAAGGGCCCGTTTGCTATGCTAATATTTTTGCAGATACAATTTTATTTTGTTTTCTTCAATTTCATCCCTCTGTCGGCACTGCTTTAAGAGTGTCGATGTCGAGCTGCGGGCGTTCCGTTTTAGGCTTGGCAAAATGGGCCGCGGCCCGGATGCCGGCTGTAAAAGAGAGACGACCCCCCAACAAGCCCGCTACTGCGAGGCACTATATTCCGGCAGGCAGAGCGAGGCAGAGCGACGCGGGGCGAGGCAAAGCGTCCAGTTTCCTTCACTTGAAAAGCGGGCCTCAGTACTTTCAGAAAAAAATACAGAAAAGAACGTTGAAAAACGGCGCTTCCTAAATGGCAAAAAAGAAGAAAACAACTTGAGCAAAATCGGCTTTGTCTAGACGATGACCGCACCTACCGCACCAATCCTCGGCCGAGAGCGAGAACCTCGCTTCAGGCGAAGCGGCTACAGGGCCGCGCGATGAAGTTTCGGCATAATGGCCGAGGACGGGCAACTTTCGTAAAGGGGATTAACTTAACTCTTCTGTGGAAACCGGAAACGGTGAGACAATGCGCTAACTACACCTCGCCGCCCGCGTCCCGGAACGCTCCAGAGTTTGCGATGCTCTGCATGGCGTGGTCCGTGCCGCCAGACGCCTGCCCTGCTCACCGATTCCGATGGTCGTCGCAGTGTCTCTCTCACGCTTTCAAGGCGTCCTGCAGGCGCAAGAGCGACAGAACGATGATAAGGAATCGCGGAATCAGTGTGCTGGCAGTTCTGGCCGTCGTCACGCCAGAAAACCGAAAGCGACGCGGAATCGATGCACAATGGACGTCGATCATCGCCCATTTCCCTCACGTTTGCTGCCAAAGTGGCGCTGCCCTGAATTTGGGCCGCTCGATGGTGTGAGTCGCGTTACGTCCCGGTGGCGCGGGCACTGGCTGTCGTCTGGACATTCAGTGGTTGGGAGGACAAGGACCGACGGACGGACACACGAGTCGCCGAGGGCTGATTTAGTCGGGTAGTGGAAAGTGATGGCACCTGCGCCATGCCTGCGGCCGGGCCGGCCGAGGGTGGGCTGCCTGGGCAGGGGGTTCCAACTTACTGAAGTGAAGGCATTAACGCGACGGGGCCCACGCTGCCCACCAACGGGTGCACGGTTCGATAGGAGCAAACGAAGCCTTTCAGCCATTGCGAGGTGAATCAGTTGACCTGCCTCTAAGTTGACTCTCCCATTCATTCCTAGTCCAGAATTAATATTCGCAGGCAACGCACAGCATGGTAGCACCATAATGGAACGGACAGTATCGAATGGAAACGTGTGCAGGGAGGCGGTGCGCTGCAGCTTGGTCGCAGCCACCGCAGTGAAAATGGACATGCCACTAGCAGCACATGGCAGCTTGCATTGCGGAACTTCAAAAGCTGTCGGCCGCAGCGGCAATGCCTGTTTTTACGGCGCGCCGCCGGAAATGGCTGGCAAATGCCAGAATTGAGCATCTGGCCGCAGCCAATGTCAGCAGACGGTTTCCAGAGTTTCTGCATTATTTTTTCTCGGTCCCTCCGGGATCACTTTGATGAAAACGTCTGCGAGGCCCGGCCCCTGCGTCCCCTTCTTGTCGTCGCTGCCAACTCGAGGTGGGGGGTGGAGTGTGAAGCGGCGCGGTGACTGTGCCTAAGTCCTGCCCCGGTTCTGCGGCCCGGTTCCTCACCTTGAAAATAGGGGATTAGCTTGCACATGGCGGCGCCGAACACGAAGTTCTTGAGCAGCTGTCCCAACAGGGTGAAGGGCATGCAGAAGACGCCGAGCAGCAGGTCGGACACCGCCTGCAAGCACACAAGGGAAAAACAATTAATGCCTGGGTGCCACTTAGCTGAGCACACTTACTATTCTGGGAAACCGGAGGTCCTCGGGCAAGTGCGTCCCGAATGGTTTCAAAGCTTCGTCGGCTTTCCAGCTGCTTCGTTTTAATGAGAAGTCAAATTTGCACCGCGTAGCTGTGGGTAACAAAATGGAGAGAGGAAGAGTTTAATCGAGGAAACTTCAATGTTTTCCCAGAGGAAATAATCTGTTGGGGGCGGAGCATTTCCCTTCGTTAGATCCCCGAAAATCCGTCAAATGAATTTTCGCAGTCGTCTCAAGTGTAGGCTCAAGAAATCATGACTCGGGTCGGCCGCTGTGCCCCGCGGGCCCAGGGGATGGAGCGGCGAGAGCGGAGGCCCGGCATTCGCGCCAAACGAAGGGATCAACAAGCTCCGGCTCCTCCGGCTTCAGGGATCCAACTCAGCTCTGTTTTTCTGTTTCCCGGGGCCTGACTGGGGCCCGGCTGGGGCCCGGGGGCCCGGGGGCCCGCGGCACGCCGGATGCGATTCGCTGCCCTGTTGATTGAGCTCCACACCGGTTTCGTGCGGCCGCCAGTCGAGTAATGTTGTTTGTATCAACAAAACTCAAAACTCGATACCGACAATAACACGAATAGGTTGTCTTGAATAATATTGACGGGCTAAAGTTCTCGTGTCGTTTTCAGCCTAGCCCGGCCCGACGTGGCAAGGCTGTGGGTTCCATAATTTCAGAGGAGACACACTCCAGAGGCTCACGTTGTGAAACCCTTGCCTGGGAAATTGCTCGGGACTGTCTGCCATCTGGACCCCAGCCCCAGCATCACAGCGGGCCTTTGGAGTGACTCGAAGGACGCAGGTCCTCCGACGTGTGAGCACAGCCAGGCACAGCCAGAGGGGCTCCACGTGAGTGAGCGCAGCACTGACCAACCGAGCTGGACCAATAGTGCGACACCACAGCAGCCGGCTGCAGCCGGGTGACACGTTCTGGCAAAGCATCGACCGGAAGGCTTGGTAGCAGACTGATTGTGTGGGACGCCCTCTCTCTCGCACCCACGGGACGCCTAGGACAGCGTTTCTCAACCTTTCTCGACTCGCGACCCCAAATTTGTAGCCAAAAATTTCCGCGACCCCAGGAAAAGTTTCGTGACCCCACGGGACCCCTCCTTTAGCATGCCACTGCGTCTGATCCGAGGCGGGCATTTTGCTCCCTCAACGGGCAATTGGTCTTTGGACCTTCCTTTAGCATGCCTCTGTTACGGAGTGCGATTATCAGTCTTAGTTTGGGAGCAGTATTGTCTCAAAGTTGGCCAAAACGCTCAGAAATGTCTTTAAAAAATCATGTTTTGGGTCGATTTTAAGCAGCCACTGCGTCTGATCCGAGGCGGGCATTTTGCTCCCTCAACGGGCAATTGTTCTTTGGACCTTCCTTTAGCATGCCCCTGTTACGGAATGCGATTATCAGTCTTAGTTTGGGAGCAGTATTGTCTCAAAGTTGACCAAAACAGGCACAACGATTTTTCAAAGACATTACTGAGCGTTTCGGCCAACTTTGAGACAATACTGCTCCCAAACTAAGACTGATAATCACACTCCGTAACAAAGGCATGCTAAAAGAAGGTCCAAAGACCAATTGCCCGTTGAAGGAGGATGAAATACCGCCTCGGGTCAGACGCAGTGGCTGCTTAAAATAGGCCCAAAACACGATTTTTCAAAGACATTTCTGACCGTTTTGGTAAACTTTGAGACAATACTGCTCCCAAACTAAGACTGATAATCACACTCCGTAACAAAGGCATGCGAAAGGAAGGTTCAAAGACCAATTGCCGGTTGAGGGAGCAAAATGCCCGCCTCGGATCAGACGCAGTGGCTGCTTAAAATCGGCCCAAAACACGACCCCAGCTACCTCGCCGCGACCCCTTAAAATTTTGTCGCGACCCCACTTGGGGTCGCGACCCTAAGGTTGAGAACCACTGGCCTAGGAGGCAAGGAGTGAGAGAGATGACGGCCACACTGCTCGGACGGCGCGGACGGCGCGGGCTGCTGAGCCGTTGTTTGCGAGGGGGCGAGGGTGCAGCCTGCCCCTCCCCTCCCCCGCCGGCATGGCGCGCCAGCGCTCCCGGGGGAAGTCATCAACAACGGCAGCTGTCGAGAGTGAAATTACGCGAGTCGCGGGCCGAAAAAGAGGAGAGAGGAAGAGACACGGAACAATGAATCCCATTGCCGCTCCGACGAGAGGCAAAATAGACAGCCATCCACTCCACATGTGCCGCCCCTGCCACTCCACTGCTACCACTTTGTTTCAGTCATTGTTGCAAGGCTTGATGAAAAAGCCCGGGCGTGCGAAGGTACGGAGAACTTTTCCAGTCCAGAGAGTTGACGCTCCCCGATGCAACATAGTGTCTGTTGCATTCAAATAATTCTCGGCAAGTAAACGGGAGCGGAGGGTGAAAGACGCCCACCCAGTCAGTGTCGCCGTCAGCGAGTACAGTAGCGCGGAGAGGAGGCACGCTCGTAAACCAGACGCCGCATCCAGGCCGCGGGCCAAGGGGCAATCCCGTGCAGTGTAAACCTGTTGATTGGGAGCAGGCCAGTTTGCCGAGTTACTCGCGCGCGCGCACACACACACACACACACACACACACGCGCGCGCACCCTCCGGTTTACTTGGAGAGCAGCACAGCTGGGCTAATCGCGGTCGTGTCGAGGTGGTGTGGGTGCAACCCCGTGGTTAAAGCACTCATTTTCGGCGTCCCTTGAGTCACAGGTGAGCACGCACCCAGAGCGCGCGTCCCGAATTCGGCCACGGACTGGTTGGAGACGCCACGCCATCGTCACGCCCGAGCACGAGGGAGAGGAGAGGAGTGGCGCAGCAGAGCGGCCGACCACAAGCCGGGCAAGTGGACGCGGCGACGACAAACGACCCATGGGGACGGGGTCGCCCAGCTGTACCTTGCCCTTGGCCCTGAAAGGGCGTGGCGGGGCGTGGTGGGGGCGGGGCGCTGGGGCGTGGCGAGGTGCGGCGGAGCGTGGCGGGCCAGCTGCTGCAAGCGCCACCAGGACCGCCAGGGGAACGGAGCGGAACGGATGGCCGTCCTCAGCCACCGCGCTAGCGCGCTAGTCCGGCCCTCCCCCACCCCCTCCCTCCGATCACAGAGGGGCACTGCTCCGTTTGAATACGAAACAAGCAGCAAGCAGCCCGCCCCGCCCACCCGCCCAGCGTCCGCTAGCCGCTCCGCCGCCTTTGTGTTCGCAGTCTGTCGCCGAGGAGCCCAGGACTCCTCTTCTCCGCCGGGGCCGGGGCACCACCAGGGTGAGTCTGGGGCACTGGGGCGTCAAGCTGCCCCCGCTAAACGCCAAACTGGGCGTCACGGCTGTCACTGGACGCCGAGACTTCCCCGCGGACACCGCAACAAATCGTCCATCACTGTCGACCCAGGAGGAAGAAGCGGAGAACAAGGGGCCAGCAGCAACTGAGGCTTGACAGGGTGGAACTCTCCGGTGGCAGAGCGACCGCCTACAGCCCGCCCCCTTCCTACGGAATTTCGCATCGTCGGATAATCTCTTATTGGGGGTCCCGGCACTTCCAGCCCTTCCAGCGCTAGTTGTTCCTTGCCGTGCCCTCGGCCTTCTGCCCGAGGCTGGGAGGGGAGTGGAGGGGGGGGGGGGGGATGTCGCGACAAAGGCAGCGTGCCAGCCGCGCCTTGCTAACCTGATTAATTACACGCCGACCGGCAGCATTATGTAAATCCAGGCAGGCGGGTTAGCTCGCCAGGCTCGGCACACCCTCGATCGCCACCTACGCAAAGCCGGCATGGCACGGCCACGGCACGGCCACGGCACGCCGCGCAGTGGAAAGCCGAATTCCTGCCTTGGCGCTCCGCGGCCCTGGCGGCGCGCCGCGTTCTTCCGACACTTCAAAGAGAAGAAGATAACCCTTTGAGGAGGCGCCAAGAGTTTTCTAGGAAGCGCCGTGCTGTGAGATAGGCGTGGTCGCGGCGATGAGGCCCCGCCGCACAGTGGGCCAGAAGACCGTTGAAGGCGGCCAAATCTCTGGACGCGTTTTGAGCTCCAGAGTCGCTGAATGGGACTCGAACGGAACGTGTCACCCTTCCAATGGATTGCTCTTCGAACGAGGAATCCATTAGTGGGATCACACGTTCGGGTCGAGTCCATTTGTGACTCTGGAGCTTAAAACGCTTAGAGTTTTGGCCGCCCTGGCCCACTGTGTGCCGTGCTGCCTCTCCTTGGAGATGGTCTTGCACGGCCCCGGCGCCACGGCGGCCCGCGCGTCACCCTCGTCAGCATGCCGGGCCCTGCAATCACGGAGAAGCAAGCCCCGCATGGGCGCGCACCAGTCCATCAAGCCCTCGAGGCTGACTCTGCGCCCGTCGCCCGCACCGCCCGCACGCAGGGCGGATTCCGCGTAAACTGCGAGTTGTTTAATATTTTCCAGAGGAAAAAGGCATTTTCCGTTCAAAACGAGAGTGGAGTGGCTGCGCTGGATTCCGATAAACAGAAACCGGGTCCGGGGCTGTTCCAGGCGAGAGCCCCGCCCCGCCCCGCGGTGAACGGTCGCTGCGGCTCCCACGACGACGAGGCAAAACAACGACCCGCTAACGACGCGACGCGGCCCCGCCCCCAACCTCTCGAGCCGGGCCCCGCACGAGGCCACCTTCGATCTCTGTCTCTCTCGCGGCCGTGCGGGCAGCCCCCACGTGTGCGAGGGAGAGGGAGTGACGAAAGCGGTGGCCGGCATCAGCCTGCGGGGCAGTTCCCTGTAATGGCACCGAACGGAACACTCGGCCCGATGGCCGACAATAATCACCCATTCCACGCAAGAACCCCCAGGCCCAGACCGCGCGAGACCGCCAGCCAGCCGAGATTGGGAGGTAATGAAAAAAATGGACGAAAAAAAAGAGAGAAAAATTGTCAGGAATAGGCCCCATGCTGATCGCCCAGCGGGTGCAGGTTTGGCCTGTGGGCTG